AGATGGACGCCGGGTCCCCACTGTGAGAACACACAACTGTGACGTTTGGAGTTGGCTTCCGGCCCTGTTACTTGGCCTCCCACATGCCACCAGAAGCTATAGACGGGAAGTCTGCATCTCACATGACCTACAGGTAGGTTTAATTTAATAACTACCATATTTTGAAGTATAGTGTGAATATTTTGAAATATCTGCAACTATAAGTTGATATGAAAACATTTGTGACTTCTGATGCTAGCAAAGCCACAGGTATTGATGAATACTATGGTTTGTTGCCTATATTCATAATTGAAGGAAATGCTAAGTCACAAGAAGATAGTAAAAAGAGAGAGGTAATTTTTTTCCCCAAATTCATGGACTCCAGGTTAAAAACCCCTGTGAAAAGGGATAATCAGGGGCTGGCCTGGTGGCGCAGCACTTAAGTGCACACGTTCCACTTTGGTGCCCTGGGGTTCGCCGGTTTGGATCCGGGTGCGGACATGGCACTGCTTGGCAAGCCATGCTGTGGTAGGCATCCCATATATAAAGTAGAGGAAGATGGGCATGGATGTTAGCTCAGGGCCAGTCTTCCTCAGCAAAAAGAGGAGGATTGGCAGATGTTAGCTCAAGGCTAATCTTCCTCAAAAAAAAAAAGGATAATCACAGGATCGGTGTAAATATCGAGATAATCTATGTAAACAGCACAGTGTATGTTGCGTGTATACATGAAAATAAAGAACAAAAATATCACACGGAATGTTTTGGTTTATACTTCTTTTGCAGTTAGAAAGCAGCCTAGATTTCAGTATCCTTTTGCATGACTTTATCTTAATCATAGTCATCAAGGGCCCTAAATGAATAGACTGGTTTTAAAGAGCAGATGTATGTTTCAAAAGTAGAAAACTACGCTGTCTGATTGACAGGCTGTGAGGACAGCATACTTGCACTGTTTAGTCAGCAGTTTATGCCAACCATAATGACACGGCTCAGCCCCTCTGTCTAGCAGTCAAACCTCATTAAGGGGATTTAGGACTGGAGATGTCATCAGAACCGTCTTAGTCCATTTGGGCTGCTGTAACAGAATACATTAGACTAGGAGGCTTATACAAAACAAGGTATTTATTTCTCACAGTTCTGGAGGCTGGAAGTCTAAGATCAGGGCACCAGCAGATTTGGTATCTGGTAAGGGCCTGCTTTCTGGTTCACAGATGGACAGATGCTTTTTGACTGTGTCCTCATTTGGTGGAAGGGGACGAGCTAACTCTGGGAGGTGTCTTTTATAAGGCACTAATTCCATTCATGAGGGCTCTGCCCTTATGACCTAATAATCACTTCCAAAGGTCCTGCCTCCTAACACTATCACCTTGAGAATTAGGATTTGAACATATGCATTTTGGGAGAACAGAAAGATTCAGTCCGTAGCAGAACCCAACATACAGTGACTAAAGGGAAGCAGAATCCCAGAGCCAAGGCCACCTAGGGAACTGTTTCCAGGTCCCACCAGAATGCAGCTGTAGGATGGGAGCTCGACTCAGGCCTGGGAAGGCAACAAACTGACTGCAGGAACGGACTGGCACAAATTTTGGAGTCATCACAGTTAAGAAACTGGACAGAACCTATAAGTTTTCTAAAGTGCTCTTTGAAACATGAGTACTGTGATCAAATACAGTTTAGAAATCCAGCCTCTTTTGTAGATTTTTAAGGCACATTAATGGTATGCTACAGGTTCTGAAAAATCAAACAATAATCAACTTTTTTGTTTAACCTAGTATTTGATCACAATACCATTTTTTCAAGGAACACTAGAGCCAGCCCAGTGGGATAAGTGGTTAAGTTCCTGGACTCCACTTCAGCGGCCCAGGGTTCACAGATTCGGATTCTGGGTGCAGACCTACACACTGCTCATCAAGCCATGCTGTGGCTGTGTCCCACATACAAAATAGAGGAGGACTGGCACAGATGTTAGCTCAGGGCCAATCTTCCTCAAGCAAAAACAAAACAAAGCAATGACACTAACAACTCACATAAATCAATACTCTAGGGCACAGTATTTGGGAAACATTCTTTTTTGGAGATTTGGTGGGAATTTGGTAAAATGAATAGCAAAATATAATCTTGGTATGGACACAGGTCAACTCGATCTTTCTCAATAATTTCTAAAACATTTTTCTTTGTCCCAGATGGTAGAACAGATAACCTGAACCACTTTTAATCTAATTCAGCCTCTAATTGTCTTACTTTAAGAGAGACAGATGAAATAATCTTATTTTTAAAAATTAGCAGAAATGAATACAATTTTAGTAACAGCATTATCACAATTCAATAAATGTATAATGTTCTCCTGGCCAAAAGTAGTAATGAAACTTTTATGTGGGAAAAAAAAAGTAGTCTAATTTACTTTGTCACCATTCCCACAGACCTGAATAAACTACCATTTGGTAACTATTAATTTTCAAAATAACTACCCCTAAATTCTATATTTAAAATGTATAATTTCTCAATGAATTTAAGGCTTTTTACTTGTGTTAAGAGTTGGGGAAATTTTTCTCTTCAATTTCTCATTACAATTAGAAGCTATTTTTAATTGTGAAAGGCTTGAAAAGCCCTAAGGCTGCACTGGTAGTCTGCATACTTTCTTACATTAGCGGTTTAAAATGTCTGTTACTTCTATTTGTCTCTACATTCCTGAAATGTATCCTTATGCCAAGTTGTCACTATAAATATGAGTTCTCAGTTAACTATTAGAGATCTTACAGCTTGCTGGAAAGCAGAGGTGCAACTGCATTAAAATGATTTCTTATACCGCTTGTCTTCTGCACATGCAAAATGGCCTTCCTTTTTGTTGTCTAGTCCTTAGGAATTTTATTCTTCCGTGTGAGTAGAGTGCATAACTACATATTCAGCCACTAGTCACGGAGGAAACGTAAATTAAACCAGTAACAGACACTTTACCCTTATTAAGTCAGCCCTGCCCCTCCCCGTCCAAGCATCACATCAGCAAAGAGACGGGAGGCTGTGACCCAGTTAGTCGTGGGAGAGGCTGGAAATCTGAACTCTCTATGGTGGACACTGCTGGCTGCCTACCCAATATCCACTCTCCCCTCTTTTCTAACAGAACACTATTTTTGATAGGAGTGGCAATGTGTCCAGCTTCCTTTATAATTACAAAATGTCACAACTCTGGCAAATGACATATAAGTTGAGGGTTTCTTGTAACGCTTCGCTCCCCTATATCAGGGGAGCCTTTAACAAGAAGGGGTGGTGCGTTATAGTCCTTCCTAGAATGGTGATATGAGGCAAGAGATAAAACGACCATATCATGACTAAAAAGGTGAAAGCTACCACACTGGAACTGCCGAGAAAGAAATGTGGCAGAAGCCCAGGACATTTAAGATACTGTAGAGCTGCTGCACCAGCCCTGATCTTCTTACACCAGAATCATTCCATGAGAAACAGAAATAAATCCCTAAGTTTAAAACCTCAGTTAAGCCAAGTTTTCAAATGCAGTATTAACTGACAGACTCGTAGGACTTGCAACCCTTCTCTTGGGAATTCTGGTCAATGAAAGGAAAGTCATGTACACAAAGGTACTCACAGCAGCATTTCCTAGGTTTAACATTAGAAATATTATGGATTAGATATCCAACAGTGAGAGGATGTTTAAATTATAGTAAAACACAGCTTGAACTATTAGGCTACCAGTGGCGTAGTGGTTAAGTTCTTGCACCCTGCTTTGGTGGCCCAGGGTTTGCCAGTTGGGATCCCAGGCTTAGACCTAGCACCACTTATCAAGTCATGCTGTGGCAGGCATCCCACATATAAAATAGAGGAAGATGAGCACAGATGTTAGCTCAGGGCTGATCTTCCTCAGCAAAGGAAAAAAAAAAAAAAGAGGAGGATTGGCGGCAGATGTTAACTCAGGGGCTAATCTTCCTCAAAAAAAAAAAGATTAGCTTCACGATGACATAGCAACCAAAAAGATTCAAATATAAAATTACATCTGCTCCATTTATAACTAGCAGCAAAACTACTGGTTGCCTGATCCCCAGTTACTCCCAATCCTCTTTTCCTTTTCCATCTTCCACTAGAAAGATTAGAAAGACTTACAACTGCATTTCTCCATCTTTCTTAGAGCTGGAGGTGATCATCTTATACACCTGTGGCCAACAGATGAACACAAGTCTACTGGGGATTTCTGGGGAAGGTTTTGCTTTTATGAGAAAGGATCAGAGGTGGAGTGCTCTGCCTTCTTCCCCCCTTTTCCTGTCTTGAATACAGACACGTTGCCTCGAACTGCAATGGCCATCTTGTTACCAGGAGGGAAAGGCCAAAAGACTCTCAGAGATCTTGGTGCCATGAAGTCACTGAACCGATGCCAGTAGCCAGTCTTCCAGACTTCTTGTTATGTGAGAAAAACAAACCCCTATTTGAAAAATCATTGCTACTTAGATCTTCTGTTACTTAAAGCAGAAAACATTCCTACCTGATATAGAAATAAACTATAAGTGATATGAACAAAAGATATGTCAGAAAAATTAAAACAGTTGACCTGTTAGGGTATTATTAAAAATGATTTGTAGGGCCAGCCCAGTGTTGTAGCGGTTAAGTTTGCATGCTCCACTTTGGTGGCCTGGGGTTTGCAGGTTCGGATCCCGGGTGTGGACCTATGTACCACTTAGGCCATGCTGTGGCAGGCGTCCCACATATAAAGCAGAGGAAGATGGGCACGGATGTTAGCTCAGGGCCAGTCTTCGTCAGCAAAACAGAGGAGGACTGGCGGTGGATGTTAGCTCAGGGCTAACCTCCCTCAAAAAAAAAGATTTGTAAAGAAAAAATTTTGCTTGTACAATAAAGCATTTAAAAATAAAACTATTGAGCTTAAACGGAAAACATCTGATTAATTTTGTTGCTGACTATGAACACATTTGCCATTTAATCTAGATTATCTTAATTCTAATACTAAGGACATTTATCCATTGTTTTTTGTTCAAGAGTGAAACAAAATTTTAGTGAGCAAACCATATTTTCAATAAAATTTTTTATGTATATATGTAAATAACAATGACACAGCACCAAGGGCCTCTGTAAAACGTCATCATAGAGTTTCTGTGAAGGATGCTTCACCAATAAATGACACAAAATTTGTTTTAAAAGCATGTGATTACAGAAAACTGTTTAAACTGTTCATCAAAAACTGGGTGGGATTTTCCAAAGATACTTCAGATACTGAAATCAATACCATCTATCTTCTGGATATCAACCGGAGGCGCACAGGTTAAGAGGAGCCCGGGGCGCAGCGCTGAAGCCGAGATGCAATCTGCACTTGAAGAGGCGCTGCGCTCCCTCACACCAGGCTGCCTTCATCACGAGTCCCTTCCAGCCCCGAGGGATCAGCGACATCAAGATGGCTCATCAGCTAAATCACGCTGGTCAAAATACCTGGTAAAAAAAATAGCAATTGCAGCACTACTTGTAATAGCAAAAGACCACAAACAACCCAAACGTCCATCAATATGTGGACTGGCTGGAGAAACCACAGCACATCTACCCAGTGGAGGACTAAGAGGCTTTCCTAAAGAAGGAATGAGGAAAATATCGACACTGCTCCCGTGCGATTTCCTGGATTTATGGAGTGAAAAGAACAAGGTAGAAGACCGCAAGTTTAAGACGCTGCCTTTCGTGAGCACGTGTTGGGATGCAGATATATTTACATATATTTGCTTACACTTTTAAAAAGAAATAATGACTGCAAGGAAAATCAAAAATTAATAATAAAATGGATAACTACAGAAGGGAGGAAAGAGGCTAGAGGATAAAGATGGATTCTAAAATTATAATAACTTTGGAACAATGTAAATATTTTATGTATTTATAAAACGAGAATAAGTAAAAGAGAAAATCACTAATCGAACTCCACCAAATGAATCTTCTCATATATCAGGTTGGTAGCATAACCACACAGAGGAGAATAATTTCAAGTGATCTTAAACACGAATTCTGATATATGTCCCCAGTGAGATATACCAGAGACAAAAAGAACTGCAAAGAATTCTTAAACTGATTTCAATGGCTTTCTATCAGTAACACCGTTAGTATTGCTATTCTGAAACAATTATGTGCACATTGTAGGAGACAGCCAATAATTATGTTAATGTTGTTAGAAACCAGAATGTTCATCACAGGAGAAAAGAAACATATCATTAGAGAAAATCACGTAATCTTAAATTAGAACTGAAATATCAGTTTGAACATACAAATTTATTTTTCTCTTTCTAAAAAATACATACTGCCTAGCTATGTTCCCTGAAAAGGCCTAGGTGCAGTGACCAACCCAATACAAACCGGCTTCCCTAATGCCCACACTGTGGAGTCTAAATACCATTTTCTACTTTAAAAGAGGAACCAGCACTCCTGGGAGAAAAGACTGATTCCAGATCCGGAGCCAGGAAGGTCCCAGATACCTTTGATTCATCCTGGTAGCCCAGCAAGTAGGAAAGCTAGATAAGACCACCAGGGTTATGTAACGGAAAGCACAGGACTTCACCCGCAGGGCTCCCACCGGCCGGAGATGCAACAATTCAACCAGCAGAAAGAACCCTGCGTGCAACCGCCCTTCACCTGACGCGGTGATCAGCTTCGTCACCACTGACAGTGGGACAGCTGGACGCTGTGTGCCTCCTGATGCGACACAACAGCACCCACGGAATCTCGTCAAACAAACAAGAAATGCTATATATAACCAAGCTTTCAGACCTACCTACCAGTTCACAGAAAATACGGGGGACACATAAACATGTTAAATACCACTATGAAGATACAGTTGTCAAAACCACAATGTGGGAAATCTTACAAGTCAAAGGACCCAGTTTCTTCAACAAATAAATGGCAAAGAAAAAACCTCGGGGGTTGATGGAGAGACTTAAGAGACTTCAAACAAACGCAGTGAGCGCATCTTACTCTGATCCCCACTGGAGCAATTCAAATGTAAAAAGAGATTTTTGCGACAATTAGGGAATATGAAACATGGACTGGACATCAGATGATAATGTGGAGTTATTAAATTTGTTAGGTGTGATACAGTATCGCAGTCATGTTTTTTAAAAAAGTCCTTATCACTTAGATATACTGAGACAGGAGAAATGATAAGTCTGAGATTTGTTCAAAATATACTGACAAAAAAGATGGGATAAATGAAATATCCTGGTGAAGAGCTAACAATTGTTGAGCCTGGGGGATGGATTGGTCTAGGGGGTTTATCCTACTACATTTCTATGTGTTTGAAAATCTCCATAAGAAGCAGCTTAAAAAAATTATCAATGGTAAAAATAATGAAGGTGGCTGACATATAACTATTGGATCCAGTGTGAATGGGTTTCCACTCATTTGAGTAGGTATTTCTATCAATTAGCAGTTATGCCTTAAAGCTACCAAAATAAGCAAAACCAACAATAAAAAACACGAGACTTAAAACAACACCTGATACTTACATTGAAGCTGCTGCAAGAGAGAGTCAAGGCCTATGTTATCTTTACTTTAAACTTACTATAATCTTCTGTAAGTTTTCCCAAGCGAAGCCTATAGTCTCAGAAACTTTTCTAGCCTAGAATTTTTACCATTTTTATTTAACTTTCAGGAAAAATAAATGACCAATACATTTGGATATTTCTTCTCTCACAACTGCATAATATTATAAACTATCAGAGGACTACCAGTCAGATGATATGTTTAAGTCTCTGGTTCTATTAAGTACTAGCTTACTGAACCTGTGTCTTCATCTATAAAAGGAAGTAAGAAGCGCCTGCGTTGTTGTAAGGAGTAGAGATCCAGTACAACACAGTGCTCAGGGCCACGCTGCACCCTCTCATTTAATCCTACTACCAGCAGATGAGGCAGGTACTAACTTTGCGACAGTTAAGAGCTTAGCTCTGGAGTACAGCTGTCTGGGTTTGGATCCCAGCTCTGCCATTTACTAGCTTTGTGATGGTAGCAAAGCTCTTTAACCTCTCTCTGCCATGGTTTCCTCGTCTGTAAACTGATTATAGTACCCACCTTCTAAGGATTCGATGAGTTCCTAGTACAAAGCACTAAGAAAATGCTTGGCATGAATGCCCACTAAGTGTTAATTGTCATCAGCAGCATAATTATTGTAGATCAAGAAACTCCGTGTTGAATGTGGATGTATTCTCAAAAAGTATCTTGTTTGGGGGAAGGACAAATGGACACAGGATTATTTGCCTTCCCAATATTTAAATATATCATAAAGCTTTAAAAAGGTATTGGCATTGGAATAACAACACTGACCAATGAACAAAAGTATCAACTCCAGAAAGAGACCTAAAATAAATATATGTCCTAAAATAAACAGGTGTGTGTATATGTATAAGTATGTATATACACACACTCACGCACAAGCATTCAGAATATGAAAAAGTTTTCAACTAACTTCCAGGTGGAATTTCAAGAAATGAAATCGAACACATCCTAAATAAAAATAAGCCCATACTGAAAATGAACAAAAGACACAGGAAATTTAAAAAAAAAATACAATTCAATAAAATGAAACATGTTCTACCCTTGCTGGTAACCAAATAAGTGCAAATAAAAATAATTTGTATCTTTTATTATTAGAATGGAAATATTTATATCAACTGCAAGTGCCCCGTGTTGAACAGGAGATGGGCACTCTTGCTGACACGTTAGAGGGAACACAGAATGGTATGAGCTTTCTGGAAGGCACACTGGCAATAAATATCTGTTTTAAAGCGCATGCATGCCCTTTAACTTGCTTCTAGGAATTGACCCTTAGGAAATAATAGAGCTGTAGGTATAAGGATCTTCAATGCTGCACTATTTATAGAGAAAAACTAGAAACAAAGGGAACTGTGACACATACTACTGTTTCCTCACACCTCAATTTCCTCTGCTGTAAAGTGGAAACAGTACTCTGCACCATCACTAATAACCCTATTATAAAGCCAGGAGCCAAAGCTTACTGACCTGCTCACCAAGCAGATTAATAAATTCAAAGCAGGAACCCTCTCATCATCTTTGCTGTCCTAAAAAAAAGAAAGAAAGAAACTTTAAAATGTAGTCTCTTCTCCCCTAATATTTTTGAAACAAATTTCCTTTTAAGATGCAAAACATGAAAATTTTATCAGATGATAGTAATAATCACAGGGAAACAGATAACCTCAAAGCAAAAAGGGGAAAAGTGTAGAGTTAATGGTCCTTTGAGCAACACCTTTTAAAGCAAGGTCCTGAACAGGGAACAGATGAGTTGAGGGTTCTAAGGAGGACGACTTGGGAGGGAGATACTGCCTGGTTCCAAGCAGAGGAGCGAAAAAAGCCCAGGTCCTAACTGGACAGTAACAAAAAACATTATAGAGAAATATTTTAAAGAACTTATTTGAGACGGACTGAAATCCTGGCTTCCAGCATAGACAGACCAGAAAATATTCCACATTAGGGTTCTGAATTATGACGGAGGCTGTTCCTGAACTAGACATTTTATAAAGTTCACTTTAAATATTTGTTAAAATAACAGCTCTAAGACACATAGAAAGTAGTCTTACAGAGTATGAAATTTATTTTTATGCGTTGTGAGGAATAGAATAATCTATTGAGGAATGTTATAACAGATATGTCATACATTACTTCAAACTCGGGACAGGCTTCCATGATGTTAGTGTATTCAATCCTTCTACATGCCCAGCACGGTAGGGAACAAAGTTGAACAAAACACATCACCGGCTAACAGTAGAGAAGATGAAATATCCATATTAGGTTTAATGAGAGGAAAAATGTGTCAAGTCCCACAGAAAAGATACAAAGTATACTGGGAAAACTGAGGATGGAGAGGTTCTTTTCAGTTTTTAGGACAAGGGAAAGTATCCTTGAAAGTGGCAGAATATGAGTCAGATTGTGAAAAGTAAATGGTATTTAGATGCAGATGGGAAGGGAGTGAAAAGGCACTTCCGGAGAGGGAAGACAGTCGAGGAACAAAGGTTGGGGAATATTTAGTGAGCAGCAAGTACATCTTGCTTGAGGTACAGGCCAGATAAGTTTCGGCCATATCATGGATGTTTAATGAAAATATTCTGGAGTAGTCAATGGAGAGCAAATATACATTTTATGGAGGAGAAAGGAGGGATGAAAGAAAAAAACTCAGAAGTGGCTTAACCTGGCATCAAATTAATTTATATCGTGATGCTGCAGGCATGAGGCAGAGGAAGGGTCTGACTGGATAAGTTCAAAACAATCATTGTGCCGGCGTGTTAGCTGCCCACTTGAGCTTCTCATCTCCCCTTACTATTTAGCAAATGAAGCTCAGTCTTAGCTAGGCACACTGCCACCCAGCTAAAAGTAAACATTTCCTATAGCTCCTTATGGCCATGCAACTAACTTCTGGCCAATGAGCCACAAAGATGTGCTTGTGGAACCTCTGGGAAGGCTCCTTAGAGGGGATGACCTTTTTCTCGTCTTCTTTTCAGCTTCCTGTAGTGAGACATAATGGCCAAAGCTCCAGCAGCCATCTTGGATCACGGGGTGAGCTGGAGCACGGAAGCCACGTGTGGCAGAGCTCAAGGCCTGGACACTGCCACCTGAGATCTGATCTGCCTACGTCAGACTTCCTTTATAAGACAAAAACATTTCCATTTTATTTAAACTATTGTTATTTTGGGCTTTTCTATTATGTGGCTAAATCGAATCCCAGCTAATAAAATATTACACGTTGTCCCATTTCATTGGAATCCTTCTTTATCACCACATAAACTGGTGAGTGCTTTTAACTTGAAACAGTAAGCTGTAACTTACCACCAAGAGCCTCACTTCAGAGCACCTTCTTGCAAGCTGCCGAATCAGTGAATGAGCCTCAGGTAATAAAGGTTTTTCAAGACAAGCCAATAAAGCATAAAGCCATCTTCCCTAAATAGAATTTTAAAAAGTAGTAAGTAGGCAAATACTGCACCATAAGTTTAACTTATTTTAAAAAATGTCCAATGTTGTGTCTGGTTATTTGCTATGAACAAACTCATGGAACATTTAACTGTATTGTTTGGACATGGACAGCAAAGGGTCATCTAGCCAGCCAGGTGACAGCTTTTGTATCTTCTAACTATAGACACATAATATTAGACCCTTCAAAATATCCTTACCCCCAAAGAGACTGTTTCAGAGATTCGTACTACAGCTGAAATCCTAATTCATAGGTAGAAAACTACATTAAGCTGGGTAAAAATCCTATCAAAAGTTAAGAAACATTTTCTTCTTTGCCCTTTATAGACAGATAGACAAGTCATTTTATAATTTTATAACTTTGTCCCGAGTCTATATGTAGGAACTATGCTCTAGATGAAATAATGTTTTGATACTTCTATAAATATCATGGCAAGCTAAATTTATCCCCATTCCCTTTCAAAATTGGTTTTTCTTTTTAATTACAAAAGGAATACATATTCAACGCAGAAAAACCGAAGAATACAAAACGTGCAAAGGAAAAAAGAAACCTAAAATCTCACCACCCGGATAAAATTTCTGCTAAGTTTTAAAATGTTTATCTTTTTCCTATGTATAGGTACCCCTTTTAAAAACACAGTTCCATCATTGCAATAATGTTAATAATGTAGTAATACCATTTGGTAGCCACCTTTTTTACTTGCAATACAAAATAAACATTTCCCGTGTTTTTCAATGGGATTAACAAGGAGCTGTTATTAGTCTCAACAAGGCACTTATATAAATACTTTTAAACCAAGCACTTAACACACTTTCCTGTCACTGCTAGTTTATTCTTTCATTCCCCAAACGCTGAGAGTGTAAAGATAGATAATACACCCTTAGAACTCAGTCTAGAGTTGGGACACAATAGCTTAATTAAAATATTTGTGGAATGAATGTTCCATGGATGCACCATAATTTACTTAACCAATTTCCTATTGTTAAGCACTTAGGATGTTTAATTTGCTGCTGTTATATAAAAAATACTGTGATAAATATCTTTGAAAATAAGTTGTAGAGCACTCTGATTTCTTGTGTTAAATTCCTAGAAATGAAATGGTAGTATCAAAAGGTATATATGCTCATAAAAATTTCTGAGATATAATCGCTAATTGTACCCCAGAAAGGTTATATCAAATTATATTTCCACCAGCAGTGTATATGACTGAGTTTATCTGAGCAACATATCACTTTAGGGAATCCTGAAGAATATAAAATCAATATGACTTTTTCTTAAAAAGATTCACATCCAGATTTCTTTTACAACCAGTGAGCAGAATTCTCTTCTACATTAAGAAAGCTATTATAAATCTAAACTTGACTCAAATTTTGAGGGATACATTTCCTATATAAAGCTGGCATTTAGGCATGCAAATAGCCCCTACACTTAGAAGGAGCTGAAACCTTTACTGATTAAAGGTTCCGTTTCACAAACTCAACAAGTACAATGTGACAATACTAAAAATAAAAAGAAAACCCAAACAGCTGAAAACCTTCCTTAACAGTGTCACACTTGGATGACAAAATAAAGCTGTATTTCTCAAAAAAATATTAGATAAGTAATCTCAAGTAAAGAAATAAGAAAAAACAGGGACCCTTTCTCCTTTTGCTGGTTTATGACAAACTTACTTCCTGTGACACAGGTTTTTACTTTAAACACCGATATTCTCAGTACTAAGTTCTGATAGTACAGTTATTTGGTTAGAGGAATTAAATACTGTTGATTTAAGACACAGAATACTCAAAATAAGACTCAAAGGATTAATCAGGTTAAAATGGAGCGCATCAGTTGTCAGTGAAACACTTTAATGGTTCCTCTAGCAAATACAGCTACTTTTTGGTAATATGCTTCCACTAATTAACAGGAAAAGTCAAACTTATCACCTCCTTGAGTAAGTAATCTTTAGAAGTTAAAAAAAAAAATCCAAAAAAATCTTACAAGGAAGAAAAAATGAAGATTAAAAAAAGAGAAGGAAAACAGGTAAGATAAATAATACTGATAAAAGGTCACTATCAGACAGAAAGAACTGATACAGAATTTAAAGTTCAACATCTAGATTCCTATGAACAAGCAGCCTAAGAATATGAATAAAGTTATCTATTGAAGGTGTAGTGAATATGCTAATGCATGGAAAAAATACTGTTTTACTGACACCAAAAGAAATGCAAATTACATTTACTTTGAAGTACTGCTATAAATTCACTAAATTTGAAAAACAAAAACAAAAACAAATTATGAAATATTAGATTGAACCATATGGAACTGCTGATAATCAAATGTTTTTACCCTACAAAAATGGCAATTCCATATGATTCAACTTAAAGTAGGGTTGTAGGAAAGAGAAATTAAGAATCCATTGCTGACAGCATTATAAGCTGGTTAATTTCTTCTGGAAAGCAATCTGGCAGAATGTAACAAAGGCTTATAAAACCTTGATCCAATAATTCTATTCTAGAAATATCCTAGGAAATTAATAAAAAAGAAATTAGCATAAATGTTTATAATTTAGTCGTGACTGTAAAACATAAGGAAGAACCCAAACGGTCAATAATGAGAGAATCAAAGTGAACCATGAGACATTAAGACAATGGCAATTATGTAAATTACATTATCATATAGGAATATATATACGAAATGTGAGCTTAAAAAGTCAGAATATATACATTAATTACAACTATGTAAAAGACAGGTATGACCACTGAATCAGAAACAGTGATTTTAAACATGAATTTTTTCCCCTTAAAAAGTACGTTATACAGTAGAGATTTAAAAGAATGAACATATAACAATCAAAAATGAAAATCTAGTGATAAAGAATATGGTCACTATACTTATGAAGAGACTTAGCTAAGCCACCTGGCTGCAGGGCAGGCTGGGAAACTCACGCACTGTACTGCGAACACTGCAGTATAAGCTACTAGAGAGCAAAGGTTACCTCAGATGCTTTGACAGGGAGCTTTGGAAGCTCAGATACACTCTTGCAAATATCCTCAACTGTGAAAAATATTTGTTTCTAAAAATTAAATCTAACTTCAAAGGATGATAAAATTTATTCTTAGGGGCCTAAGCAGGTAATTCATTTACATAACGCCCACCAAATTTACCCAGTTTTGAAGGTGAAAATGAGCTGTGAACATAAAGCAATAAAATAGAGGGGCAGTGCAGCACAGCTGTTCAGAGCAGAGCCTGAGGGCCTGGCGTGAGTCTCAGTTCTGCCAGTTAGGACCCCTGTGACCGTCAGCAAGTCACTGAATCCCTATGTGCTCCACTTTCCTTACTTGTAAAGTGGAAGTAAGAGCTCACGGGTTATTGGAGGATTCAAAGAGTTATTGTACACAGAGTCCTTACAATGATGCCTGGCATAGAGTGCTTGCTATTATTTCTGCATTTTTTTGTGGACTCGATTTCAAGGCCACTTTAGAAAATGCATTTCAAATTTCTTTAAGCCAGTGCTACTCAAAAAGGGGTCTGCAGACTGGTTGCCAGTCTGTGACCTGTTTGTTACTGGTCTGCAGTGATAAGCAGCTTCACCCAGGATACAATTGACATTTCTTCCCAAAGCAAGACTTTCTCAATGAAGGAAGTAGTATGCTGATTTACATTCTAGTGGAAATTCCTTATTTCCCTGCAAACAAGCATTGTTTGCATTACGTACATAGTTATACATACACGTATAATACATATATATAAACACAGTAGAGTCATATCTCATAGATAAGTGTATATATAATTTTGTATTATGAAAACAAAAAGATGCAATACTACCAATTCTGGAGTAAAGTCTCTTTCTCCAAACCAATTACTCAGATATTCCAAGACACTAGTTACTGTTGCCTAAAAAAACAGGGAAGGAGATGGAAGAATTGTATTAGTAATAAAAAATTGACAAGTTCAACATAAGTTTCATTAAATTTAGTTAGAAAGCAACTCTGATGTTTAAAATGGCCCCATTCTTTAGATTTCCAGAGAAAATTGTTACCCTATTTAGTAATTTGATTAGATGGCTCTCTCTCAGTGAGAGGAGGCTTTTTAGACAAATATTCTTATATATTGTCAAGTATCAATACCTTGGTGTAAATTCCAGGATTTAGTTTGTAACGACTAACTTAGTTTGTAACTACTTGAAAAATTCCATGTGCTCTTAAAAAAAATCGTTGTGTAAATACCTTCAGATTATTTTCATTAAATCAAAGTACAAATCTAAAAAGAAAGTTAGCTAGAGAAAGATCTGTTTTAAAGATATTACAGATAGAATTTATCAAACTGTTGAAAATATTCTCTGGCTTACTCAAATAGAGTCGGACACTTAGAAAAATCGCTCTCATTGAATTTAGTATGACTAATACAGTATCTTCATGCAAATGATCAAGTAAGTGAAACTGTCAGCCAGTATATGATTTACAAGTAAGTGAAACTGTCAGCCAGTATATGATTTACAACCGAGGATGACCCTTAAAAAAACCTGATCTTCCAAGGGTACCAGACGCCATGTGAAGGCGAAACAAAGTTTCATTTGCTCTTTAAATGGATCACAGAGCTCCTAGTCCTAAAAGATTGAAGAATCAAAGTGCATATTTTCCCCTTTGATCCAAGAAATTATGTATTTCATCCTTAATTGAGTGTGTAGGACATCTGGAACTGGAAATAGCAATCTCATCTCAGTATTTACCTCAAACCCCAGAACCTAAGACTTCTAACTGAAATGCACACAACTGAATAGTTCGCACCATGACTGAGAGCATGAGTTCTGGAATTAGATCAAGCTAGGACCAAATCCCACTGCCGCCATTAAAATGTGCTGAAAAACCACCTGCAAGGCATTTAACCTGCTATTTTGTTTCCTCATGTATTAAAAAAATGGATATTAACAACAACTCCCCACTTAGAGTTGTGCTGAGGATTAAATAAGAACTGTTAGAGAGTTTAAGAAGGGGTCTTACATACTGTTAAGTATTCAGTAAATGTATTCAAATACTTTCACACACGCTGCAAACAAAAGAATGCATATATATATATATATATATCCTTATTATTAGATGGATTTTACCTGATTCATTCTGCTAACAATACTAAGCAAAGGAGGAAAACCAATCTGAAAGAAAAATGAGACTGAAATTTACTAAATGATATTATAAGGGGGTTTCATTTTTTTAAACTGGTAAATTTCTCACCACACGGTTATTTAAAAACAAACCATGGATAAAAGAAAATTCCTTCATTGCCCATTACAATCAAATATTCCATAAACTATTATGTTGGTAATGCCCAAGAAAATAATGTCTTGAAATCTGAACATGCAAATTTAAAAATAAAGAATGATTTTAGTAATTAAAATGTTAAAGTATGACATTTGAAAAAACGATACTACACTATTGATACTATTGACACATTTAAAAAATGATACTATGATACTAACAACTTTTTCAAAATCTTCAGCTAAAGCCAACATTTCAGGAATTAAGGGAACTTGAATTAGAATGATTTTCTTTCAAACCTAATCTGATTCAATTAAAAACAGTACTTTGGAGTTTAATGCTGAGAGCCTTGATTATGAAAACAGCACCGAGATGAGAGAAACTGAAGAGGATATGCATTAAACTCTTGTGTCCTTAAATGATTCTTTCATATGGTGTATTTTACTTGTATATTTACTTTATATATATTTTGTAATAACAAGCTAAATAAATAAATTTTAATTCTTTGTCAAATTAAAACACATTTTGAAATGTAACATATACTAGGGATATTATCCAAAAGAACAACAGGTTGTATAAGAAACTGCTGAATTAGCTCACTTAGAGATCTGAATCTGTTTACACTCCCATCACCATGTGTAAGAGGGCCTGTCAACACAGTATATCAAAGTTTCTTTGCCAACGTTACCTGAATGATCACAGCTCAGTGGAGTTATAAGTTACATTTCCACTACAAGTGGGTTTGGGGATCTTCTCACATAACAATTTGTATTTTCTTTCTGTGAGATGTCTATTTATATCTTTTGCCTGTTTTTCCTTTTGGGTTCTTGGTCTTTTTATTGATTTTTAGAGCTTTTACATTTTTGGGATAAATTTGTTTTAAATGGGAAAAACACACCGTGTACCACACAGCAAGCAATAAATGTCTATTGAACAGAACAGACGATGCAGTACGGGGAGTCAGTGGTAATGTGGACATAGGCAGTGGGCTCACAGGAACACCTGCAATCTTGAGGGCGGGTGAATCCTGAAGGACAAGCAGCAGCTGGCCATGTAATTTACGATGAAAATAAAGCCAAGTGAAACTGAAAGATACCCTCAACATTCCATCTCCAGAATATGCAATTTACTGAGCATTTTTAAGCACCTAATTGTTATCATATGTTTTCCTTTCTTTCCTTGATTACTTATAACTCACTGTTTGACCCATGCCTAATCACTAAAAAAAACAGAATCCTATCTAACTCACAAAATTATTACATAACTAAAACATAAGAGATATGAAGCCAACCTAAAAAACTCACATTACATTGTTTTAGAAACTGGGCTGCCAAGTTTTAAGTTAAAGAGCCAATAAAATAAGTCAGAGGTTGGCAAACATTCTCTGTAAAAAGCTAGACAGTAAATATTTTAGGCTTTACAGTCCACACACTGCCTTGGTCATATATTACTTGTTTGTTTAAAAACATAAAAAGCACTTTTAGCTCATGGGCTAAAACAGGCTGCAGACTGGACTTGGCTGAGGCTGCTGTTTGCTGAGTCTTTATACTAAATGACACACCAAAATTAGAACCCTTTTCGATTTGTTTAACCACATATCACCTACTTGTACATAGTCGATTCCAGGACTCTCACTTGCAGCTGGTCCAACAGCCCCTTCAGCACACAACCTTTCACCCAGACAAAATTTTTTCCAGCCTTCTTCATCTTCAGATTTTGGCTAAAAGAAAAAAAATAAATTTACATATTTCTATGTATTTTTTTTATACTGAAAAGTGAAAAAAGAAGTGAGGATTCCTCCCTATTGCCATCACCTCAAAACAAAGATATGGTGCCTGTTATGGGCTCAATTGTGCCCCCCTGCAAATTCCTATGTCGAAGTCCTAAACTCCAGTACCTTAGAATGTGACTGAATTTGGAAAAAAGGCCTCTACAGAGATGATGAAGTTAAAATGAGGCTGTTAGCGCGGCCCTAACCCAATCTGACTGGTGTCCTTATAAGAGGAAATCTGGACATAGAAAGAGACAATAGGGATGCGTGTGCAGAATGAAAGAGCACATAAGGACACAGCGAGCAGACGGCCACCTGAAAGCCAGAGAGACCTCAGGAGAAATCAAACCGGACAACTTCAACAGAGAAACTTACATACCATGGTCACGTTACTATCCAGCTGTTGCGATTTCCAGTGGCTTCTATGTCTGTTCACACTCTAAAGGAAGAAAAGTTACACAAGTAATCTTCAGAGAAGTGGTAAACGAAAAGACAACAATCAATCCTAAAACTTGGAAAATATGTTTCAAACTATTATGTCTAATGATTATAATAATTTGATCATTGATTAAAAATATGCTAAGCTTTATATTTCAGAATCATCTTACTTTTCCAAGCACAGTCTCAGGAACAGTAATAAATCTGAGGGGGGGGGGTCTAATTTAATTAAATGATTACAGTACACTTACCTGTCGAACAGTTGAAAACTGTGCCACCTGCTGCTGCTGCCACTGAAGTGTGGGGGAATAGCCCTCAGGAGCAGGCTGGCATCCTGAAAGCTAGAGACCAGTTCACAAATGTCAGAATCAATGCTAGTGTTAGAACTAGAATCTCACGCCTCTGCAAAGTAAAAGCAGAATCAAGATGAAGAGTGAATAATAAAGGAAACGATTAAGACTAGACAAGAAAGATAGTGTACTTTTTGCAGATGTAAAAAAGTAGGCATCTCACTTCATTATTTATGTCTGAGTTCAAAACATTAGGAGAAGATCTTTTATAGTGACTTCAGAAGAGCAATCTGGAACGGTTTATAGTTGGAGTTCCCAAAAAACCTAAATGAAATGAGCCCTGAGGATATAACCTAGTCCTACCTTTCTATAATAGCAGAACACTTTGATACAAAAAGAGAAATATACCCCAAATACATAATTTTGGGTATGAGCAGAATGTACTCAAATAATTTAAGACACTTGACTTTACAAGGCTACTTCCGCTTCCTAAAACAGCACATAGTTCACAACTGATCACATACTGCCTTGAAGTAAAACTTAGTGTAGCCACTTTTTAAAAGCTAGGTATTGAGGCTGGCCCTGTGGCCCAGGGGTTGGGTTTGCATGCTCTGCTTCGGCAGCCCAGGTTTACAGGTTTGGATCAGGGGCGTGGACCTACACCACTCATCAGCCATGCTGTGGCAGTGGCCCACATACAAAATAGTGGAAGGTTGGAACAGATATTAGCTCAGGGTGAATCTTCCTCAAGCCAAAAAAAAAAAAAAAGAGAAAGATTGGCACCAGATGTTAGCTCAGGGGGAATCTTCCTCAGCGCATGCACGTGCGCGCGTGCGCGCGCGCACACACACACACACACACAAAGTAGGTATGTAAGACATCATCTTCCATCAACTAAAAACTTCTGAAAAGGAATTACACGAAACATTATAGTGTCTAAACTAAAATTTCATGATTATAAACATCAGATTTAGAACATAAAAGGAAAAGGACTTACCACAATTTAAAAACTGTTACTCTCCTTTGACCTTAGGTTACATAGAACCTCCTTAGAGAGACCTGTGACTGTTCTATCTAAAGCAGTTCTCCGTTATTTATTAGTCTTCACAGCAATAGTCCCAATATGTAATTATTTAATTTGTTTACTTGTTTACTCTGTCTTCCTCTGGAGAATGTAAACCCTACAAGGGTAAGGACTTTTTCTGTCTCATCCTCTGTTGTATTCCCAGTGCCTGGCACAATCCAAACGCTTAATAAAAAAAATGTGCTGGATAAATAAATGAGTGAAAATGTTCACAGTGTGCAAGTAGCTAGAAAAGTGTAAGATATTTGAGTTTCTAAAAACAAAACCCAGTCAAATCAGAACATGCAAACCACACATTAAACACTGGTCAAATTATTATAAAGAGCTGGAGAAAGTTTCCTTAAAAATAAAGGATAGCCAGGGGCTGGCCCCGTGGCCGAGTGGTTAAGTTCGCGCGCTCCGCTACAGGCAGTCCAGTGTTTCGTTGGTTCGAATCCTGGGCGCGGACATGGCACTGCTCATTGAGCCACGCTGAGGCAGCATCCCACATGCCACAACCAGAAGGACCCACAACGAAGAATATACAACTATGCACTGGCTTTGGGGAGAAAAAGGAATAAAATAAAAAATCTTTAAAAAAAAAATTAAAAAAAATAAAAAAATAAAGGATAGCCTAAGTAACCTATTTAAAGACTTCTTTAGCATTGGATCATGTCCCTAAAGTATGATGAGCAAATCTCCGCCAAAGCTGGGGTTACTGAAAGCCTCTTTGAGGACATAAATACCAACTTTCCTTTTGGGGGAAAAAGCACAAGCAAACGTTTAACTTCGTCGAGTGCAATCAAATCTTACCTACATCACAGCTGACACTGTCAGACACTATAGGAAGAACCTTGATCTTTTAATTTGTGGGGGTAAAAGAATCCCCTGACGGGTAATAAAACTCACAGAAACATTCACACTTTGCTTCCTTTTCAACTTCTTTGGGTCAATTTGAGCTACCACAACATCTGGACATTGAGCTGCTTCGATCCTACAAATAAAGAATAAACGCAAGAAACGTGATTACTATCGTGCCTTGTTCACGTGTAGTAAAACGAGCGATGCATTTCGACAGTTCATTATGAAATCAGAAAAAAAGTTTAGAATTGCAATTGAGATACTCAACAATCTATTTCTGAAATTATCTGGACTGAAAGCAAAGAAATCTAAGAGCACACATCTTGACATGGGTAATCACAAGTTTAATAGAACTAAGATCATAGAAACGCGTCCACGTAAAGATGTAATCGAGGGATCCCGAGCCGACCCCAACAGGCGTGAGACCAGGGACGGGAACAGAGGCGGCGCTTTATCACACACAGGGGCGCACGGGCGCTGTGCCCAGGGGCAGGGAGGACGACCGGCCCACATGCACGGGGCCACATCACTCACTGGACCCGCCTCAAGTATTCCTGAGGCGTCCTCGGGGGTACGGAGGGATCGAAGCCTTCTGTCAGGTCACAGGGCTCCACCGGCAACAGCCGGGGCATCAGCTCTTCCACTGCAGACTCGGCCGGTACCCACGCCATGGTTTTCAATCCGGCCAGTCCCACCCAGCGCATGCGCCGAGTGTAGGTTACGGCGCAGGCGCACAAGGAGGCACCTTTGGCACCGGTAGTTGAGCAAGAGGCCGTGCTTCGGAGGCGTTATTGCGCATGCGCAAACCTCCTGTTTGTTCCAAGATTAAGGCTCCGGCGGTATCGTGAAGCCTGCGAGTTTAGTTCCTGGCAGGAACGGTTCTGCAGCGTTTGTGCGTGTTACCCTCTGGTCTCTCTTCTAAGGCTCCGGGAAAAGCTGAGCGGTGTTAACCTTTCTGCGTCCGTAGTAGTGAGGGCTCCTTACATGTTTTTTGAATGATCATTTATTGAGCTCTAAATTTTTTAACTCCCTGTAGACATGTTACATACATTTCCTCATTTAATTTTTGCAACCACCTTTTGAAGTAGGTGCCATTGTCCCGGTTTTGGAGGAGAGGAAATCCATCGAAAGAGGGATGAGGTCCTACAACTGTGGCTTTTCCAAAGGGGACCAGCCAATTCCACCTAGACTTATCTGACGCCAAGTGAATGAAAAATTAATTTTACAGAGGAATTTCTTGTGCTTGCTTATTTCAAAGATCACCACTGTATATTTATCTGAAATGAATATTACTCCTAGAGTAGCCATCACTTTTTTCTTTTTTTTTCAGAAAGATCTCTTTGCTGAAATATAAATAGTGCAGAGGATAAAGCTAATGCCAACACCCAGAAGTTACCATTATTAATCTTAGGGCCAATCTGGTGAGGAGGTATTATTATCTGCATTTGACAGGGGAGGAAACAAATGTATTGGGTAACTTGTGCTGGGTCATAAATTGCAAGAAACAATGGAAGTGTTACATCTCCTTTCTAAACAAGCTCTGAGTGAATACAATTGACTTTATTTTCTAAGGTTTAAGTTTATATTTAAGGTCTTTTCTCTTTTTGAAGCACTGCCTTTAGCTTGCAAGCAACTGATTTTGAAACCAAAATGTAACTGTCTCGTTGAAGATAAAGTGAGGACAGTCCTTAGGTTAAGAGCTGAAGAGTTAGAGCTTACAAGAGGAGCTAAGCAATCGGGAGACTTAGAAAGGCACTGCCTGGCTGCAGTCAAACTGGAAAGTTCTTTGGTTATAAATTTTATTGATTTTGGAAGAAACAGACTTAAAGAGAGGAAACATGGAGAGAGACTCTCGTCCCCAAACTTTTCAGTCATAATCAAGAATAAATTAGAAAAAGTAAGCAGTTAACTTCAGTTCTGGATTTCCTTACAAATACTTTTTTTTTTTTTTTAACTTACTAGCAATTTCCCCCCCATTTTTCTGGCGAAAAGAACAGGTGATTACCTAGTAGAACAGCCACCCATGGAACAATGTTTAACACTGGACTCCATTCATAAGTATGTGGCAGAACTACACATGGATGAAGGAAGAAAGCAGAAGAATAGCAGAATGGAACAAAGGTTGTCCTGGGAAAGAATAATAAATTATTTTCCAAAAGAAGGAGGTGAGTAATAACGCACATGAATGATACTGAAATGGTTCTAAAATTTTAAATACACAAGAATGAATTCATTCAGGAGTGAGGAAAGTAAATTAAAAATTTATAAAGGATGTTTTCTGCTACTTCAAACTAATCTGACTTAAAAGAACTAATAATAAGTTTTGGAGATTTTTTTTTTTTTTTAGGAAGATTAGCCCTGAGCTAACTGCTGCCAATGCTCCTCCTTTTGCCCAGGAAGACTGACTCTGAGCTGACATCCACGCCCATCTTCTTCTACTTTATACGTGGGGCCCCTACCACAGCATGGCTTGCCAAGCGGTGCCGTGTCCGCACCTGGGATCCGAACCTGCGAACCCCGGGCTGCCAAAGCAGAACGTGCGAACTTAACTGCTGCGCCATCAGGCCGGCCCCTAGAGCATATTTTTAATATGGTTATAAATTGGAAATTGCACTAAGTATTTTTGAGTGTTTCAGTGAGATATGAGACATCTGAGAATAAATTTGATGAAGTTCTGAAAAAAATCCTTAATTTTTGGAAAGCTGAACTTCTAAAACTATAAATACCATTTCATCTAACCTCTTCCCAGAAAGACTATTCCAGAGTTGGTGAACTACCTTTGGTTCCCCATTTTCAAAGATTTCCAGTCATTTCTCAGTTTACAATGGAAAGAGCTTTGTATTTCAGTATTTCTTACATTGGTGGTTGGCTGTTGGAGTTGTATGAGGGTTATGAGAACAGAGCACTCAACAGCTGTCTATTGATGATGGTGGCATGTGTCATCAACCTTACAGAGCTAAATGCAAATGTTTTATATCCCCTTAAGCAGCTCAGTTATTCTCAAATATTAGTGTATGTAAGAATAATCTGGGAGAAATTATTTAAAATACAGACTCCTGCGTCCTATAACTCTCTCCTCCAGAGTTTCTGATTCTGTTGATTGGCTGTGGGGCTCTGCAATGGAGATTTTAAGAAGCATTCCCAGTGAGAAATATAGCTTAGTCCATCTATTTTGTTCTTTCCCTCCTTATTCTTTGTTGGTTTTTTTGCTGAGGAAGATTTGACCTGAGCTAACATCTGTTGCCAATTTTCCTCTTTTTTTCTTTTATGTGAGCTGTGGCCACAGCATGGCTGCTATCAGACACAAGTGGTGTAGGTCCATGCCCGGGATCTGAATGTGGCCCACTGAAGCAGAGCGCACCCAACTTAACCACTAAGCCACTGGGGCTGGCCCTCCATCCCTGTTCTTTAAGACCTACTACACTAGAATTTCTTCTGCCTTTCTTTTTTTTGAGGAAGATTAGCCCTGAGCTAACATCTGCTGCCAATCCTCCTCCTTTTGCTGAGAAGACTGGCCCTGAGCTATCATCTGTGCCCATCTTCCTCTACTTTATGTCGGACGCCTGTCACAGCATGGAGTGCCAACAGGGGCATAGGTTCCACACCTGGGATCTGAACTGGCAAACCCCGGGCCGCCGAAGTAGAGCTTGCGAACTTAACTGCTGCACCACTGGGCCGGCCCCTAGAATTTCGTCTGTCTTTTCCTGCTTTCTCAGTTCTTTTTTTCCTTGGCCACAATCTAAAATTTCACTTGCCTCTTTATGCCATTAAACCTTAGTGAATTCAGTCATCCAATTGTTACTTATTGGTTTTCTACTGTATGCCAGGCACTGTGGTAGGCGTTGGGGGTGAAAGTGGTGAGCTGCTCCTCTCATGGTGCTTACAGTCTAGGGGACAGAGAGATAACCAGACAGGGACACAAATGTATTTTGAATGTTAACTGTAATAAGTACTATTACGGAAAGTTTCAAGGGAGGGGAAGAGCCTTGCAGTGTGGAAATAAATGAAAACCAACCAAATGAGAACAAGCAAAGGCTGTTTATTCAGAGTTTGCTATAGGAAGAGAGTCAGCCTCCACTACTTGAGTGTTTTTGGCAAAGACTCAAAGGCAGGCAGAGGAGTAGGAAAGCTTATGCTGGAAAAAAGAGAAGGCTTCAGGTGTGCCCTGGTTGGAGGCTGTCAGCATGAGAAGGCTGTGGGTGAGTTGCTGTAGAGGAGGTGAGATTTCTCCTCTACTCTCTTAGGGTCTCTGTCTGGGCCTAAGAGTTACACTGACCTAAGATAGATTAACAGGAGAAAAGCATACAAGTTTTATTTAGTATTTTTTACATGTACATGGGAGCCTTCACAAGAAAAATCAAGACCCAAAGAAGTTAGGGCCCAAAGCGTATATACTAGGTTGGACAAAAAACAGTGAGTTGTGAAAATAGTAAATTGTGACAAGACAAAGGGGTTTGGGCTAGGGCAGTTCATTGTGGAAAAGTAAACAGGAAGATAAAGGTTAGTTTAACAAGGTTTGTTTGCACAGGTTTATCTTGGTCTGGACTCCCCATCTCTGATGATAAGAATGTCTGTCTTCCTCTTGGTATAGGGAGAGCACATGTCACATGGGAGCTTTAGCTCCTGTTTTCAAGAAGAAAAAAAGATCAGAGCACCTTTCTTGCATCTTGAGTTAAAGGGTCTTTAACTCAAAATAATTGGTAGGACAAAGTAGCATATTTTGGGGTAGCATGCTCTGAAACCCTATTCCACCTAGAAGTGGCACATCCTGTGAAATTGGTTAGGGGTGCATGTTTGGCTTTCTCTGTTTGGTTGTAAATCGGAAGCAGGGAACAAAACTGAGGAAAGCTGTCAATTATTAGTCAAGTTCTGACTATTTTGGTACAATCATTATCGGGGTTCTTGTTTGGCTTCTTGGATTGTTGCCAGGTTGGTTACCGTAGAATGAGAGGTTGGTTTCCCGGGATGATTGCTGCGGACTGTGGGTCAGAGTCCTATTTTCATATGTATGGTCTGACCATTATACGTTTGTATATTCAGTCTCAGCAGGTAAAGGAAAGAACTTGTTCAAGGCCTTATTGTTGGAGGAAGTAGGTCATGTTGGAAAGATCAGAAGGAGGTCAGGATGGCTGATGCAAATAAAGTAGGGAGTGAATGGTGCTGGACAGGGTTGTGAGAAATGTAGCGATATATATTTAATATTTGTGGAGCATCTTACTGTGTGCCAGGGGGCTATCAATGCCCTCCAAGCAAAGACCACCAGAATATTCCTGTAGTCACATGATTACTGTGTGCTGGGGGATGTCTCAGTAAGATGGTGTTAGAACTAACTTATTCATTATAGGATTTGGATTTTTTTTTTCTTGAGGAAGATTAGCAACCACCACTCCCTCTCTTTTTGCTGAGGAAGACTGGCCCTGAGCTAACATCCGTGCCCATCTTCCTCTACTTTATATGTGGGACGCCTACCACAGCATGGCTTGACAAGTGGTGCCATGTCCGCACTGGGACCCGAACCGGCGAACCCTGGGCCGCTGGAGCAGAGCATGTGAACTTAACCTCTGCACCACCAGCCAGCCCCAGGATTTGGATTTTGTTAGGTGGTTTTGGGACAGTAGAACTTTGCTGTCAGGAAATGGGGATAATTCTGAAGAGTCTCGCCCCTCGTTGAAAATCTGTGTGATTTTTCAGGCCTGACCATAAGCAATTACAGACTTTACCCA